TCCCAAGAAGCCCCCACAGCCTGAGATTAGCATGCACCCCCAGAAATCCCCACAGCCTGAGTTCGGGGGGACCTTTCCCAAGAAGCCCCCACAGCTTGAGTTCGCGGGAACCTTTTCCAAGAAGACTCCTCAGCCTGAGTTCAGCATGCACTCCCAGAAACCCTTGCAGTCTGAGTTCGAGGGGATCCTTCCCAAGAAGCCCCCACAGCCTGAGATTAGTACGCACCCCCAGAAATCCCCGCAGCTTGAGTTTGGCATGCACCCCCAGAAACCCCCACAGCCTGAGTTTGGGGGGACCTTTCCCAAGAAGCCCCCGCAACCTGAGATTAGCATGCACCCCCAGAAATCCCTGCAGTCTGAATTTGGCGCGCACCCCCAGAAGCCCCCACAGCCTGAGTTCGGGGGGACCTTTCCCAAGAAGCCCCCACAGCCTGAGATTAGCATGCACCCCCAGAAATCTCCACAGCCAGAGTTTGAGGGGATCTTTCCCAAGAAGCCCCCAGAGCCTGAGTTCAGCAGCCTCCCTAAAAAGCCCCCACAGCCTGAGTTTGAGGGGACCGTTCCCAAAAAGCCTCCTCTACAACCTGAGTTCAGTGAGGGCCCAAGGACACCGACATGGAGGCAGGAGCCCAGCGAGGGTCATGCCCAGCCCTATCCCCAGCCCCCGAAGCCAGAGCTGGGTGCTCAGCTGGGCCACCGCCCCAGGAAGCCCCTGCAGGCCCAGCTGGGAGATCTCACCAGGACCGCCTCAGAGCCCGAGTTCCCGGTGTTCCCCAAGAGGCTGCGGCAGCCCGAGCTCCAGAAGCCCCCACTGGTGGAGCTGGGCACCCTGCCCAGGACAGCCTCGGTGCCTGAATTCGCGGTGCTGCCCAGGAAGGGCCCACTGCTTGAGGGCCACGGGCCATCCCGCAAGTTGTCGCAGCCTGAGGCCAGCGCCCTGGCCCCTCGGAAGCAGCGCCCACCTGAGTTCTTCGGTGGCCTCTCTCGAACGCCCCTGCTCCCGAACTCAGTTTCTGAGGGTTCACTACCCACTGCTGTGGGGGGCCCCAGGTCCAGGTTCCCACTCAGCCCTGGGGCTGGGGCCCGCTTGCCAGGGCAGCGGCGGCCAGGGGCCCTGGCTCCCAGCGGAGGCCTGAGGCTAGGCCTGGGACATGGCCCGCCACCCCGGCGCAGGTCTCTGCCTCCTGCCAGCAGCCTAGGACCCCCTCCTCCCAAACCCCCCCTGCCCCCAGGCCCCCCGGATGTCCAGAGCTTCTGGAGACACCCGGCGATGGCCACAGGTGAGTTAGGGTGCCCTGGCAGGCCAAGACCAAGGCTGCGGCCGGGCGGGCGGCCTCCTCCCACTCTCCTCTGCCCACAGCCCTGCGCAGGAGCCAGTCGGCTGCAGCCATCCACGTCCATGCAAGACAGCCCATCGCCAGCCTGCGGTGAGAGTGGGAACCAGGGGGAACGGGGTGAGGGGTGGCCCCGGGGTGGCCCTCAGCTCAGGTGTCTCTTTCCCCCCTCCCCCAGGGCCTCGGATGAGATCTATGAGCTTTATGACGATGTGGAGCCAGAGGCCCCCAGCCCCCAGAGCAGAGGTACGTCCAACTGCCCCCTCACTGTTCCCAGACCAGGCCAGCACAGGGACCTGGGGCGTCCTGTCAGGGTGCTGTCTCATCCCTGGGGGTCTGGTCCTGCAGTGGGCAGAGTGCTACAGGGGGGGCCTCCTGGATGGGTGTGGAAGGTCAGCCCAGGGGGACAACAGCCAGAGAAAGGCTGTGGTCACAGGTTGGTCAGGCCTGGGGCGCAGTGGAGGTAGCACCCAGGGGTAGGTGGTCGCAGAGGGAGAAGACAGACGCCCTGTCCATTCTTGAGGGGTGGCCACGTGGGAGGGGGCTGCTGTCCCACCCAGGTCCCCGGGGCCGGCCCCTTTCTCCACCTCCTGTTTCTGCTCCCAGTGAGCTGGACGGAGTTGCTGCCACACCACCTGCCCGAGGCTGTCCGTTGTAGTTAAACAAAGGAGTCCTGGTGGCCCAAGTGCTTAGCTACTAACCCAAGGGTCAGTTCCAGGGGACAAAGGCACTGATAGCAATCTGCTCTTGCGGTGTCCACAGCCTCAGAAAGTCTGGGGCAGTCCTATTCTGCCTACAGGGTCCCTGAAAGTCGGGATTAACTTGAAGGCCAAGGGTTTGCCCACTGTTAGGCATCCACCCGTTGATTCCAACTCATAGCGATCGTAGGGTTTGTCTTTAGTCCCATAGGTCTTGTTGCTTTTGTTTCTGAACTTTAAATTGTGAATTGGGTGTAGGTGACAGAGCGGATCCTCGGCTGTCCAGTCAACAGCCCCTACTCGTTATTTCAGCTCCTCATGGGCCCCTGCATAACCCGCTTCCTCCCTCCCTAACCCATCTGAACTCTGTCCTGCACGAACTGCTGCCCTTTAGATCTCATGTGTACTTCCAAGTGTTCTTGTTCCCCTTATAGACCCGTCCCTGGTGGTGGAGGGGTTACACGTTGGGCTTGGGATCGGCATAGTCAGCAGTTTGAAACCACCCAGCAGCTCCCTGGGAGTAAGACTGGGCTTTCTACTCTCCTAAATGACTCAATGGCAACGAGTTTGTTTCCTTTTGTTTGGCTGAAAACTGAGCTTTGGGGGTCAGTTCCGTTGCAGACCTGAAGGGGGAGTAAGGGCCATAGTTTGGGGGCTCCACCCATCTCTATCTGACCAGTAAACCTGGTCTCTATGTTTTTGAGCTCTGTTCCACATCTTTCTCCCACTCTACCCGGGGCCTTCTCATGGGATCCCTTTCAGAGCAGTTGGTGGTGGCCGCCGGGCACCTTCTAGGTCTCCTGGTCTCAGGGTTGTGGAGCCTGATGCTCACTGATGCTCGGGTGTCTGTTGAGCTATTGCCACGTCTTTGAGTTTCATCAAGTTGCACCCAAGCAGGATGTACAGCGCTGTCTTTGTGAACTGTTATGCCAGCTGACCTTGGTGTGTCCCTAAGGCCCCGACCCCCTCCGTGGGGTCTTGCAGGCTGTCATCTTTACAGGAGGAGATCATCAGGTCTTTCTCTCAGGGAGTCACCAGCTGGGTTCAAACCACCAACCCATGGGTTACCAGCCAAATACCTTCATCTTTATGCCACCAGGACTCCTTCTGAAAACTGTCACCCCTATTTTACAGATGGGGATGACTGAGGGTCTGAGTTGTGACTTAGCTGTAAGCAGGGCAGCCTCTGCTCTCAGGAACCTCCCCCTCTGCCACAGGGGGCTACTGCTGTCCCCCCACCAGCCCAAGGTCCTGGTACAGAGCAGGCCCCAGGCAGCCCTGAGACTGCACAGTGGTTCGGCCCTCCTTGGCCTCTTTTGCTGCTCCCAGCTCCCCCAAAGTTGCTTGCAACACCTTGTTAGCACACAGCTTCCTGGCAGGGGCCCTCCTGCTTCCGCATCCCCGGAGGCTATGGCTGGGTCTGGGGATGTGGCCTATGGAAGAGGCAGTCCAGAGCCCTGGACTGGTCCCAGCCACGACAGCACCTGAGACCCCCAGACACATCTGTGGTTCTCACACAGCAGCTGCAGCTGGGGGCTCCTCTGGAGGGTCAAGCAGGACACAAGGAGGGGCAGGCAGGACATGCGGTGGCCTGCTCGGAGTCAGAGAGCTGGAAGTGTTCAGGCCATAACTAAGCGGTCTGCCCTGCCTGAGGGCCCGGGATGACTTGCTGTGGGGGTGCACAAAGCCCTGGTGTGGGGCAGCTTGCTTGTGGACTGGTGGGAATGGCAGGCCCAAGGTCAGGCCAAAGTTGGAGGGGAACTGGGGGTGGGTGGGCACACACAGACTCCTCACCTCCACGAGGTGCACTCAAGAGGGCTGTGCCAGCCCAGCACGGTACAGAACCTTCAAGAACAAAACATTCTGAGAGTACAGTGAGACTCCCAGCCTCCAGGTCTGATCTTGGGCCTGATGGGCACACTTGGCCTGTCTGCAGGGAGGTAGCAGCGGGGGCTGGGCTGCTTGCCCTCCCCATGAGGTCCTAGGGCAGCAGGTGGGCAGAGGGGTTGCGTGCCCCCAGGTCGTGGGGCCTGGGATGGCAGTGCTGCCAGCAGGGAACATACCTCCTGGTCCCCACCACTCAAGTGATGGTTCAGGCTGGCACAAAGCCAGGACTAGGATGAGAAAGGTGAAGGCTTGCCCTGAGTGGGAGACAGGGCCCCTCGGACCCCCCACTTCCAGGATGTGGGTCCATCTGGCCTGGAGGCTGCTCATGTGCTCACTGGGGGGAACCTCACAGGCCTGGCTTCTCATTAGCAAGCCAGCCTCTCGGCTCACAATACCCAGAATAATGCACCTGCTCTTGGGGCCTGCAGGTTCTGCCCCTACCTCTCAGCAGCAGGGTGCCCTAGGGGAAGTGGTTCTACCTCTGAACCTTCAGTGCCTCCCTCTGCAGGCCGCAGGGAGGGTGGAAGCATGTTCCGTGCAGTGTAGCAGGTGCTAGGGAAGCTCAGCAGCCCACACAGGAGCTGATGAACCCCAAGGAAGGCCTCAAAGGTTGGGAAGGTGGTGGCAAGTGGCTCAGGGTTGCGGGGACCCCGCCCTAACTGGGCCTTCTCCTTCCCCAGACACTGCAGTGGCTCGACAGCAGGCGGCCAGGAGGACCCCGCAGCTCAGGTAGCTGGGACCCAGGGGTGGCACAGAGCAAGGGCTGGGGCCAGTGGGCCTGCGAGGAGCCCATCTTGCTGAATGCAGCCCCTCCCCTTGCGGGATCAGGAAGGAGCAGGCCCCGGAGCCCTCGCAGCTACCGCCCACGGACTCGAAGACTTTGAAGCAGATGAAGAAGGCAGAGAAGGCCGAGAGAGAGTTCAGGAAGAAGTTCAAGGTTTGGAGTGCCGGGTGGTCTGGGTCCTGTGGACCCTGCCCACCCCAGAGGCCCTGGCTAACACTGACCCGCCTGTCCTCCAGTTTGAGGGTGAGATTGTGATTCAGACCCGGATGATGATCGACCCTGCAGCCAAGACACGCCGAGCGGGTGGCAAGCACCTGGGGATCCGGCGCGGGGAGATCTTGGAGGTGATCGAGTTCACTAGCAAGGAGGAGATGCTGTGCCGGGATACCAAGGGCAAATGTGAGTGTTGGTCGGTGGGAAGCAAGGGTGAGGTGGGGCCAGGTGGGGCACAAGGGCGGGGGTGGGTGGGGGCACACCCACCCATTTTCCAATCCTCCCTCCTCACCCCCACAGATGGCTACGTGCCCAGGACAGCATTGCTTCCACTGTGAGTGCTGGCTGGGCAGGGCTGGGGGGCGGGTGGGCCATAGATTGGGTGGCCCTTATCTGACCCAACTGTGCTCTCTGCCAGGGAAACGGAGGTGTACGACGACGTTGGCTTCTTGGGTACGTAGCTGCTCTGGGTGGACGGACACTGCCATGGGAGGAGCCCTGGCCTCACTGGAAGCCCTCCTTCCTCTGCAGACGCTCTGGAGAGCCAGCCACTGCCTAGGGGACAGTAAGGCTGCCCAGGACCAGCCTACCATGCCAGGTACCCCGGCGGCTGGACCCCAGGTCAACAGCGGGTGCAGCCACTCAGCCCCAGACTACATAAAGCACCATCTGAAAGCCAGCCAGCCTCTTGTCTTCCTTCTGGCCTGGTCAGCATGGGGCGTGGGGGTGGTCAGGAGTATAGGCAGTCACTAAACAGGCTGCCCAAGGGCCCTGCAAGGGCATGCCCAGTCATGCCACTCTTAGGGACCTCAACCCTTGGGGAATCTGGGCAAGGACAGTCAACTGTCCTCAGAGTCCCTTGTGACCAGGCCTCTCTGCCATGACAGCAACTGGGGAGCAGAGTGCAAAGGCAGGTGGCAGGGAAACGGACTTCTCAGAGGCTGTGGGGAGGTGGGCATCTTTGTGGAGTAAACCAGCGCCGCCGCTCCCCCCCTCCACAAGCACCTGCAGAGATTGGACCTGTAAGACAGAACCTGTGCTAGAGGCACGCTCACTGCTCCCCTTGGTGTCTTAACAAGAACAAGCGGGCAACTTGTACGCCCCAGCCCCCCCTTGTGCGGGGACAAGGAGACCTGGCAGCTCCAAGCCACTGTACTGGACACTTACAGACCAAGATGGGGCGCCTGTCAGCAGTTTCCCTGATGGGGACAAGCTCCCTGGCTGTCAAAATGCCAAGGAGACGGGCTTGGTGGCACCCTCACCCCACACACAGGTGAGCAGGCAGCTTTCAGGAACTGGTATTTATTATCAAAGTCATATTCGGTGTCAACAAGATGCCACAACTACAAAAAAAACTGCGCACATTTGCAATCCCAGTGCAAACAGTCAAATGGAACCCCAATCATTAAAAAAGTAATTTGATCACCCCAGAAAGCAACTGAAATTCTTAAACATCTTTATACATCCAGCCAACAAATTAAAATGGTTAACAAGAAAAAATACAAATTCAGAGGTCTGGTCGCGATGTTTAAAAAAGGCAATCGCTTAAGCGTTTCTATCAATTCGCACATCGATCTCTCGGCCACTCAGCTTCATCCCGTTCATCATCCGGCAGGCCCGCTCGGCCACCTCGGGCGACTCAAACTTGACCACACCGCAGCCCTTGGACTTGCCGTTCTCCATCTTGATGTCTGCGTAGAGCACATGGCCTGGGTATAGAAGGAGGGAGGAGGCTCATGAGGCAGGCAGCACACTCAGAAAGGACAGTCAGAGGCCCTTGGTCTGAGGGCATGGCCCTCAGCCTGACTGCCTAACTGTGTACCCAGAGAACACGTTTGTGCCCAGGATTAGCCCTGCTGGTGGCTCATGAAAGCAAACTGACTTAGGTCCAACTTAGAGACCTGTTCTATGATACACAGCACCCCAGTCTGCCAGCCAGGCAGCCCCTCCTGACCCTTCGTAGGCAGGCCTGAAGCCAGTGAGCAGCAGCCCGTCCATTCCTGCAAGCCCTCAGGTGTGTCGGCACTGCAGGAACAAGCCAAGAGGCTTCCCAGGGCAGTGCTGAGAAACCAAGGCAGGGATTCCTCAAAAGCACTAGCTGGTGGCAGTGTATGCACGAACAGCAGGCGCAGGGGCACTTGCAGGTTTCTCAGACAGAAAAGGTCCATCTGAGTGGGGAAAAATACCTGGTCACAGTGGGGGCAAGGGGCAGGGAAGACAGATGACCCAGCAGCTCACCCTGAGAGAATTAGAGTCTGAGATGCAGCAAGAATGGTGAAATCTGACCCCTCACTGAAACAGGAAGAGCAGGGATCAGCCCAAGCCCCACAGCGCCTACCCCCAACCCCCTCCGCCGACCTGGCTTACCAAGGCCCAGCCAGCACTCAAGTACTCCAGGGAACCCTGAACAAGCAAACAGCCTCGGTCTTGGGTGTTTAGTGAGCTGTGCAGCCTCCCTCTAGATACCACACAAGCAGATAGGCCACCCAGACAGGCACTGAGCCTTAAGCATAGATGAGGATCTGACATTGATAGCAACTGGCCTCTGCTACACAGGGGCTGAGGCAGGGCAGCAGCACCACCACTGAGCCTGGACCAAGGTCGGTCCATGCATCCAGAGACCCCCTCAACACTCACCACATTCGTTGAATTTGTCTTTCAGCATTTTCCAGGTAAAATCAAATGGGAGCTGGGGAGAGAGGAGAGCAAAGTGAGGTTCCCACTAGACCCTGGCAGGAAGTCCTGCTGGGGCCCCTTCATGAGACACGCAACAAAGCAAATCTGTCTTGAGTGGGGTCCTGTCTGGGGTCCCGAGGACTGAAAGTGGTCAGCTTGGCCCACATGACTCAGTGACAGCTTTTTTCCTCTCTCTGAACAGTTTTGAGAAAAATGCAGTAGCCTTTAAACTAAGGCATCACTAAGATTAGGG